CTGAACTTATTCTAGGGTATCGTGGCAATTAAATAATAAAATACAACAAATCGAATTCGACATCGATCGCGGTCCTCAGTTCCTTTTGACGTTCCGTCCAGTGCTTGTTGCACCTGGAATATAAATAAAAGTCTTTAATACCACGAAAATGTTTCATAAAAATGGGGATTATTTACATATGAACGTATCGAAAAACAAAAATTTACGCTTATTTTCACCTTTTTTTAAAATGTTTCACTACATGGTAATACGAATTGATATAAAAAAGCAAAGTGTACGAGGGTCTGCGCATTGACGGTAAATAAGAAAAATAGTGCCTCGGAAGAAAAAATTTGTCAGTAAAAAAATGGTTGGCACATTTTATTCTCACCGCTAAGTTGAATACGACTTCAAATGCTCCGGGAACCTGACGGTTCTACCTGATCGTGTTTTCCGTTGCACCGATGGTTGTTGCAACTGTGTATTACCAGGCGTATCGTCAAGAATTTCGATAATTGAGCTATCCGTCGGTCGGCTGTGGCGAGCTGAAACGTCACATATAATGGGGTCACCTTCGAAATAAGCTGGTTTCAAACGGTCGATACTGACAGTATCTTCACGTCCACCTAGCTCAGTTATGTAGAATTTCTCGTGTCGCTTAATCACTTTGAATGGCCCGTCGTAACGTGGTTCAAGTGGTCGACGAACGGCGTCGTGGCGAATAAACACGTGTGATGTCTTCTGTAAACTGGGGCGAACGAAGACATCAGTCGTTTGAGGTCTAACCGGAGAAGGCCTAACTGAACGCATTGCGTTTGTAAGCCTAGTCACGTAAGATGCCCTGTCGGAAACGTGTTTGAAAGTTGAAGGAGAAACAAACTCACCTGGTAGGCGAAGAGTGGTCCCATAGACGAGTTCTGCAGGAGTGCATCCAGCATCAACTTTCAAGGCGTTACGAATACCTAGTAGGACTAGAGGCAGAGCCTCGGTCCACTGAGGCATGTTTGCAGCTGAAAGGGAAGCTGTCAGCTGTCGATGGAAACGCTCTACCATGCCATTTGCTTGTGGATGGTAGGCTGTCGTTCGGAACCGGGTGCAACCTAAAAGTGCCGTTAGAGCGTGAAATAATCCACACTCAAATTGGCGCCCACGGTCGGTTGTGACGTGAGATGGACATCCGAAGTTCGCGATCCATCTTTCGACGAAAACACAAGCTACTGTTTCAGCAGTAATATCCTTAATAGGTACTGCTTCCGGCCATCATGTGAAACGATCAACACAAGTGAAAAGGTAGGTACATCCATTAGATTCTGGTAGGGGTCCTACAATATCTATATGGACGTGGTCGAAACGCATGTCTGGGGCTAGAAATGAGCCTAAAGGGCTTTTCGTGTGTCGCGTGACTTTACACTTTTGACAAGCTAAGCACGACTGGGCCCACTCCTTAACGTCTTTGTTCATCCCAGGCCAGCAGAAACGTTGTGCGATAAGCCTAATGGTGGCTCGTACACCTGGATGAGAGAGTTTGTGCAACGTATTGAAGACGTTGCGTCGACAACTCTTCGGAACTATTGGGCGTGGTTGACTAGCAGAGACATCGCACAAAATTGCATCCTTGTCTGATCCAACAGGACAAAGTCGCAGTTTGAGAGTTGTGGACGACAACTCATGATGCAGCTCAAGGTCTTCCTTTTGACGCCGAGCTAGTTCAACGAGATCAATACCCTCGATATAGTTTATCGAAGCTATTCGAGATAGTGCGTCGGCTGCGGAGTTGTTTGCTCCAGAAATGTGGCGGATGTCTGACGTGAACTGGGAAATGTAATCCAGCTGTCGCGACTCACGAGGGGAGTATTTGTCAGACGCCGAGCTGAGGGAAAAAGTTAACGGTTTGTGGTCTGTGAAAATAATGAAATCACGACCTTCCACAGAATGTCGAAAATGGCGTACAGAACAGTACATGGCTAGGAGTTCCCTACCAAATGTACTGTATCTTGTTTCCGCGTCTTGCAGCCGCCTCGAGAAAAAGGCTAACGGTTGCCACTGGTTGTCAGTCAACTGTTGCAAAACTGCTCCAATTGCTGAATCAGATGCATCAACAGCAATACTCAAAGGAGCATTGGGGTCATGATGCATAAGCATGGTTGCGTTCGAAATGGCTTCCTTGACTTTAGAAAGCAAGTCTAGCCGCGTTGTCCAGAGACACGAACTTCGCAGTTCCTCGAAGTAGATCTGTGAGTGGTCTCATGACAGAGGCACAGTTAGGGATAAACCTTCGGTAATAACTTACCAGGCCATTGAAAGTGCGGAGATGTTTCACAGTGGTCGGCTCTGGATAGTTTGTGATAGCCGCCACTTTATCTCTCAATGGGCGTATACCTTTGTTGTCAATGGTATGCCCAAGGAAGCTGAGTGATTCAACTCCTATTTCACACTTCTGTAAGTTAACTGTGATGCCATGTTTTTTAGTCTTTCGAATGCGAGGTCCAAATGTTTAAGGTGTGTTTCCTTATCTGGACTCGCAATTAGACAGTCATCGATGTAGACATGAACAAAATTCAGACCACGGAAGACGTCGTCCATAAAGCGTTGGAATGTTTGTGCTGCATTCCGAAGACCAAAAGGCATGCGCAGGAATTCAAACAGGCCAAAAGGAGTAATAATGGCTGTTTTCGCGATATCTTCTGCTGCCATAGGTATCTGGTTGTACGCTTTGACTAAGTCGATTTTCGAGAAAATGTTCATGCCGCATAAGGTTGCGGTCAAGTCGTAAACGTGGGTATAGGGTAGCAGTCCGGAGTTGTTTTGGCGTTAAGCCTTCGGTAATCACCGGTCGGACGCCAGTCGTTGCTATCCTTTTTGGGCACCATGTGCAATGGCGATGCCCAAGGACTGTTCGACGGTCTGATAATGCCCAGTTCGAGCATGTGGTCGAATTCATTTTTCGCCGTTTGCAGCTTATCGGGGGCTAAACGGCGCGCTTTGGATGCCACAGGTGGACCTGTGGTTGTGACGTGATGCATAACATTGCTGGTTATGCACGGAAGAGTGTGCTTCGGTTGTTGTAACTCTGGATATTTCTCCAGAACTGCCTGGTAGGACGCGTCGCCTGATTGTTTAGTCCTAACGATGGCTAAACTCGGACCTACATAGGTGGTGCCGCCAATAGATAACTTTGTGTTGTTATCTATCAGTCGTCGACGGCGAGCATCTACGAGTAGATCGTAATGGTTCAGCAAATCTATGCCAATGATGGGCATAGAGACGTCTGCAAGGAGGAAAATCCAGTGAATAGGTTTGCGTAAACCTAAGTTGAGGTAGGCATACCGTCTCCCGAATGTCGCGATTGCCTTGCCGTTGGCTGCTTGAAGATTGAAGGATGGGTCAAGATGACGCTCCTTTGTCGTTGCTGGAAGAACGCTAACTTCTGCGCCGGTGTCGACGAGGTAGCGGACTTTCGTTTTAATATCGGTGACGTAGAGCAAACGGCTGTTTCCGCCGGCTACGGTTGCCGTGAACACGTGCCGGCGTGACCGTTTCCCGAGTTTGTGTCCTTCTTAAAACGGCATGGTTTCCGACATTTTCTGGCTTCATCCCCGTAAGTGTTATGAAACCAGCACCATTCAGGGTTTTCCACCCTGTTGGTTTAGGGGCTACCATGCGACTTGCTGCGATGCGCCAAGACGCGTTTCTGTGAAGTGCTACGTGATCTAGGACTTCGAGATCGTAGCAACCGTTTCACAGAGTTGCACAGCTTGGTCACCTCTGAATCCTGGCATCTGGTTTGTCGCAGACTGAATACATGTTGGAGACGGGTCTGTTAGAAGTCTCCAGTATTTTATCTGCCGAGGCTGCCAGGTCATCGAGTGGGACTGACTGCAGTGTCACCAACACGGTTTGCACCGGTTGGTAGTTTTGAGAGAAACAGTTCTCGGAAAAGGCCATTGTTGAATATTCGTGTGCCGATTATTCTCGCATGCATGCGAGGACTTCAGTAGCTGAGTGGCTGCCTAGCTCGATATTACGAAGTAATTCGTCTAGG